GGGAGAGGGGAGGGGGAAGGAAAGACTTGGTATAGGTGATAATTAACAGAAGAAAACATAACTGACAAAATGTAAAACTTTTTAATATACGGATCAAGAATATCATTAATTTTGGGCAAAATTACTTCAGCAAAAGGCTAAGTTTATTGTAGGACTTATCTGCTAGACATGTGTATTCTGTCATATGCCATCTACAGTGCCACTGACACAATGCACCACAAATCTGTTACTTACACATACACTAAGAGGTGAGGTGGTAAATACTGATACCAGAATTGTTAGAAAGGTCTCTGCAGTCTTGTAGACATCACTTATATTACCTGACTCAATAGATTTTTCAGTGTCTACTCAAAAAACAAAATTCTAATCAAGCATGTCAGAAGTGAAGAGTTGGGAATGGCTGATTTCAAAGTTTCAAAGGGCAGACTTTCCCTCCAGATATAGTAAAACGTTCTCCATGGTGCTTAGAAACAAACTTATTTAAGGGTATGCTTTGGGGCTCCAAACTGTTGCAATATGGATAGTTTCTATTAAGATGCCTTCAGTACACAGAACTCATTAAAAAATTTATCCAGGACAGCCTGGTCTCCATAGCCTGTTTCAGGCCAGCTGGGGCTACCAGGAGACCCCATCTCAAAAAGATTTAAAAAAAAAGAATGTCCAGAGACTGAAAACAAGAAGACCAGTTTGCTGGCTACTGAATGGCCTGGGTGAGCATGACAGGCCTGTCCGGGGTTCTGAGTATATGTATAATGAATCTAGAATCCACTAAGTTTAAAAACTAAACAGAGCTGTAGCTGGGTGTAGTGGCACATGCCTTTAATCCCAGAACTCAGAAGCAGAGGCAGGCAGAATCTCTGGGAATTCAAGGCCAGCTTGGTCTACATAATCAGTTCCAGGCCAGTTGGAGCTGCAAGGAGACCTTATCTCATAAAGACCAAAAATAAAAGCTTAACTGGGCATGGTGCCTTTAATCCCAGCACTTGAGATGCAGAGGCAAGTAGATCTCTGTGAGATCAAGGCCAACCTGGTCTACAAGGCCAACCTGGTCTACGTAGCATGTGAGTTCCAGTCCAGCTGTGACTATAGGGAGGCCCTGTCCCAAAAAACTAAACAAAGCTTAACAAAAGAATTAGCAAACTAGGCATGGTGGCTCATGCCTACAATCCCAGCACTCAGGAGGTTGAGGCAGGAAAATCACTGTAAGTTTAAGCCCAAACTGGGCTACAAAGTGAAACCCTATTGAGAAGAAGAGGGAGTGTAGGGGATAAACCAATGAAACAATGAGGAAGTGAAAAAAAAAAAAGAGGTAAGTGTGTGGCATCCTGATCAGACACTGGTGAGAAAGAAGGAGCCAGTTTACCTTTTGATTTCTCCTGAAGGGGCACCATGGTACATGAATCCTTAATCTTCTTTAGCCTAAAGAGTATGCATGATCATAAAATGACATATGTCAATCCAGTGTATAACATTAAAAGCACAGTAAGAGGCAAACAATATATATTCAATGACACTCACTTGGTATTTGTTGTTGTTGTGTATTTCTGTCTGTTGTCTGTTTTTGTGCTAGGGATCTATCCCACAGTCCTCCATGGGTTAAGCGTGTGTTCTACCACTGTGCTACATCCAGCTCTAACCCCAAAACTCACTTCATTAAATGATATCATATGTGAATGGTACAGAAAGGCTTCCATCATAATTACACCAGTCAGAAGTAGGTATGAGCCAACCCAATCATAGCTCTTCCTAGTGCACTTCAGCAGTAGGGAAGCACTGTGTCTAATTCCACACAGGTCTTTGTTGTAATTTTCAGTAGTCAACAACTCAAGCAGTGCTGAGAGAAGGGGATCAGTGCCAACAGAGTGTCTGAGTCCCTTTTCTCTGTCAATCACCATGATCTGAATTTTTGTCATAATTAACTCTTGTCCCTACTGGAATACACCTACACAATAATTAGGGGAAATATATCCTAAGTCTACTGTAGGTGAAGTCATCCATTGTAAGAATTCCACATTTTGGCCAGAAGTGGTGGCACATGCCTTTAATCTCAGCACTTGGAAGGCAGAGGCAGGCGGATCTCTGTGAGTTCGAGGCCAACTGGGACTACAGGTCTACATAGTGAGTTCCAGGCCAGCTGGGACTACAGGGAGACCCTGTCTCAAAAAAAAATAATTCCACATTTCTTATAACTACAGTAAACTTTAATATTCAGCATTTCTTATAACTATGGCAAACTTTAATATTTGGCATTTCTTCAAACTACAGAAAACTTTAATCTTTACCTCTAGGATTACCATTATCAGTTATATTCTTAGAGTATTGTGAAATTCACTGAAAATTTCTACTCATCTTTAAAATTGTTCAAGGGGACTGGAGAGATGGCTCAGCAATTAAGAGCACTGGCTGCTCTTGCAGAGGACCTGGGTTCAGTTCCCAGCACCCACATAACAGCTAATAACTGCCAGTAACTCCAGTTCTAGGGGATCTGACACCCTCCTCTGGCCCCTGCAGGCACTGCATGACATGGGTACACTTATACACATGCAGGCAAAGTACTCATACAGATAAAAGAAGTAAATAAATAATTTAAAATTTTTAAATTTGAGAAAAAAATTGACTTTTACCAAAGTTTTAAAATCGCATCTTCACATATGGAGGGAGATAAAAAGAACATGAAGAGTTGTACACAAAACAAATATAAAAGAGCACTTTCCTGCTTTGCCAAGACTGCTCTTTCACAGGATGCTGTGCAATATGCAGAGGGAAATAAAATACTTGTATGCAAGTTGGTATAGTCTCACTGGAATGTCTAAAATGAAGACACTTGAGTCAATGGCAGGAAAAAGAACTGACATTTTCGTTTGCCTAGCAGTTCATATACACCAGTATTCCACTGTATACATGAAGAATGCTTGTCAGAGTATGAACAGTATGCATTCACATTATCCTTCATTAATAAGCAGATCCACAGTTGTTAGTGTACAGTGTTGAGAAGTGATTCCTGAGCAGCCAAATCAAGGATGAAAAACAGAAACAGAAGCTGAAACAGGGAAGGGCATGAAGGCTCAAGATTAGGAAGCAGGGTGGCCTAACTCCAGGGCGTTTTCCACAATTCCACTTCCCATAGGCTAAGCATATATGTTGGACGAAGGTGAGACTGGCCTGGACGATACAAACTCCATGGTCATGGGCAGTCCTGTGCATTCTTCATCTGCACAAAGGACTTGTGACTCAGATGAAAATGACAGGAACAGCTGGAATGTCAGGGACACTGGTGTCGGGTAATGATGTGAACTGACTGTCCTCAGTAGATTTGGGGCTTGTGCTTCAAAGGGCACCTTCTCTCCCTGCACCTTTGCCATCCTTCCTCTTTGACACATCTACCCTGCTAGCAGCTCACTATTTTTCTTCTACCATCTCTATTTCTAGCCCCACCCCCTTTTTGAGACAGGGTCGAAGTAACACAAACTGACCTCAAACACACTATGTAGTCAAGGATGACCCTGAACTTCTGATTCCCCTGCCTCCATCTCCTGAGTGCTGGGATTATAGGCATGCTCTACCACACATGCAGCTCATGCAGTATCCAAGGCTTCAAACATGGTAGACAAGCACTCTACCAAGTGAGCCTTCTCTCCAGTCCTGCTTTTTATATTTTTATAGCTTGAAAATGTGTCTTCAGAAAACACTGAAAGTGATGACAAAGGTTATATGTGGGATTTGTTCCTTGTGGTATTATATACAAAATCCAGAGATAGCACAGGAATTTATACATACAAAAACAGGAAATGGTTAGGTAAACCATTATCCATTTGTAGAAGATAATGTGGTCAGCAAGACTGTATGAAGGTTATGTAATAACATGATAAATGTATATATGATACTAAGTTTGGGGGGGTTTTTTTGAGACAGATTTTTACTATGCAGCCTTGGCTGGCCTGGAACCTGTTATGTAGACCAGGTTAGCCTCAAACTCACAGAGATCCACCTGCCTCTGATTCCTAAACATTGGAATTAAAGGCATGTGCCACCATACCTGGTCAAAGTTAAGTTTTAAAAGACAGAAAAAGAGGCTGGAGAGACAGCTCATTGGTTAACAGTATGTACTGCTCTTCCAGAGGACCCGAGTTCAGTTCTCACACCCCCTCGTGTGGCTCAGAACAGCCAGAAGTTAGAGTTAATGCTCTGCTACATTGTGGGTTAGAGGCCAGCCTGGGCTACATGGAGACCCTATCTCAAAACAAGAAAACTCAGGCTGGGGATGTGGCTTAGTGACACAGTTATTGCGCCTAACATACACAAAGCACTGAGTTCTACCCCAGCAGTATAAAAACAAAGAAAACTAAAGAAACATCTAAAATTCCAATCTTGTGTGCTATGTAAACCTAAATGATATTCAAGTCTCTGTGATAGGAAGCTAATGGAAAAACATAAATTTTCCAGGCATAGTGCCTCATGCCTATAATCTTAGGACCAAAAAATGAACAGATATATCTGTGTATTTATATACCTCCCCTAGAAAGAGTTGCAACTTGAAGTGATATGTTTTCTTAGGATGACAGACTGAACAAGTCCTAGACTTTCAATAAATAGCTAAGAAATAAAGCACAAACTGAGCAGAATAGGAGGCTCTTACTGGCACATAGCTATATCTCTGGTTTTGTTTGGGGGAGTTTTTGTTTGTTTTGTTTTTTGAGACAGGATAGTGTTATATAGCTCAAGCTGGCCTTTAACTCACTCTGTGGCCCAGGTGGCCTCAAACTCACAACAGTCCTGCTTCTCCTCTCAAGTGCTAGGATTATAAACTAAGGGACTTCTTTATAGGAATCTATTGTTAGGTAAGAGCTTTCATTTCACTGGTGTGTCAGAGTTAGTTTAATTTATATTAGAAAAGTATGGTTGGGGGGAGGGGAAAGGGCCTCCCAATGTAGCCTGGGTTGGCCTTAAGTTAGAAATCCTCCTCAGCCTCTTGAGTGCTGAGATTATAGATATGGCTAGGAAGCTTCCTTCCTTCCCTCTTTCCTTCCTTCTTTCCTTCCGTCTTTCCTTCCATCTTTCCTTTCGTCCTTTCCTTCTTTCCTACTTTCTTTCTTTCCTTCATTCCTTTTTCCTAAGAACTAGATCTGGAGCCCAGGACCTAGCATGTGCTAGCAAGCACTACATCATGGCACTACATCCCCAGCCCTCAAACTAGGATATATTATGAAGTGGCAGTAGGAAAAGGCAGAGACACTCTGGCTGAAACTTTTCTTCCTAACAGTCTGTGCAGGGTTTCCATTAGCCCCAAATCTCATCCACAGGCTTCCTTTACATTCCAACAGTCATTTTAGAATGGAAACATAGTGGTCTCTGTTTACGGAACAGAAATCTATTAAGGCTGCAGAGTTAAATTTTTATTGATAAGCATTCCCATGTTCTTATGAGCATAAGATATAGGACAAGGCAGTCAATGTACTTAAAAGGAATCCTTAAATCCTTCCTGGCAGTGTCACCTGAAAACAGAGAAAAGTACCTATTTGGCAACCTGAATGAAATGGCTAACTTATATGTAAAAAAAAACAGTAAATCTTATGGAATAGGCAATAATCAGATTCATTAGCCAGAAAACCCTCTGCCTTCAACAGTGTTAACTGCAAAATAAATATTCAACAAAAGAGAGTCCAATACAAATGACCTACCTGACAGGAGGTAGCTCAGGGTCAGCACACAGCAGTTGTTTGTGAACCTCTAATGGAGCTGAACTTACGATCACAGGGCAACTTGGCAATTCTGGTAAGTATGGAATTTTGGCACATTCTTTGGGCTCTTCTAGACCAAATGCTATGGTGTGTTAATAAAAAATATCACAATCATCTGGGTTAAATACATATCTTCTTTTACTACATATTAAAATGTATGGTGTAATATACCAAATCAAGATCATTAAGAAAACAAAATCCACTGCCATTTATCTTTCCCAGGAAAGGGTCTTTCAAATGCTATCAGCCCACAGGGAGAAAAGACATGCAAATTCCAGGCACTATTTCTATCTTTTCTTAAGGAGAATAAGAATCACAATGGAATTACTTTTCCTCATCTTCTGTGTTTCTAAAACTGCTTTCTTCCAACTGCTCTCAAAAAGAAAATAATTGTCCAAGGAATCTCTGCTGAGTTTGGAAGCATCAAATTTGATCTTGGGAGATAGCACTGACATTTTCTCTTTTTCTTTCAGCAACGTTGATGGAAATGAGATGCTGCTCCAGGCCCAGCACAGAATGCAAAGAACAGGTGATTCCTATAAATGTCTTTTCTCATGAACACTAAACTTACTTATAACATAGAAATATATATTCTTGGGATTTTGTTTTTTTATTTTGTTTTTTGTTTTTTGAGACAGAACTTCACAATGTAGTAACCCTGGCTGACCTGGAACTTGCAATACTGACCCTGCTGGCCCCAAGCTCACAGGGATCTGCCTGCCTCTGCCTCCAGTGCTGGAATTAAAAGTATGTGCCACCACATCAGAATTAAAAGCATGTGCCACAACACCTGGCTTCCACATTGTTAAAATTCATTTATTTATTATTATTTTTATTTTATGTGTGTGAGTGTATTGCACTTACAAATATGCAAGTACACCGATGTCATCCAATGCCTATGGAGGTCAGAAGAGGGCATCAGATTCCCCTGGAACTAGAGTTACGGATGGTTGTTAGGAGCCATGTGGGTGCTGGGAACTGAACCCACGTCCTCTGCAAAAGCAGCCAGTGCTCTTAACCACTGAGCCATCTCTCTAGTCCCACATTTCTTTCTCTTTTTTTTAAGTAAAGAAAGCATTTAAACATTTTATTTATTTATTCATTTATTTTTATTGTATGTATATGTTTTGCTTTCATGTATGTAAATGCACCATGTCATCCAATGCCTGCAGAAGCCAAAAGAGGGTGTCAGATGACCTAAAACTGGAGTTATGGATCCCAGTCCTCTGCAAGAACAGGCAGTGCTCTTAACCAATGACCCATCTCTCCAGTCCCAGCATTTGTTACTCTTGCAAAGGACCCAGTTTCAGTTCCCAGCACCTACATGGCAGCTCACAACCATCAATAACTCCAGTTCCAAGGCATCTGATGTCCTCCTTTCTGGCCTCCACAGACACCAGACATGCATACGATGCACATACATACATGTAGGCAAATACTCATACACATAAAATAAAAATAAATAGATATATAAAAAGTATCTGACAAAAGAATCTTTAGGAAAGCAAGGTTTATTTTGGCTCACAGTTGCAGGATATAGTCAACCATGCAAGGGAGTCATGGTGGCAGAAGCCTGAGGCAGCTGGTCACATTGCAGCCACAGTCAGGATGTAATGAATGCTTGCACTCTGTCCACTGGCTTTCTCCTTTTGATTCAGTACAGAACCCTATCCCGTGGAATGGTACTATCCACATTTAGAGTAGCACTTCCTACTCCAATTAATCCCATCTATATAATCCTTTGCAGACATAACCAAATATTCGCTTATATGGTGACTATAAATTTCTTCAAGGTAACAAGATTAACCATCACAATAATGAATGTTCCTCTATGAATGTTTTGTTTTTAAGATTTTATTTTTATTTTTAATTATGTGTATGCATGTATGGGGGGGTGTGCATGTGAGTGCAGTTTCCCACAAAGGCCAGAAGAGGATGACAGATCCCCTGGAGCAGGAGTTATAGGGTTATAAATCACAGAAAGTGGATGCTGGGAACTGAACTCAGGTCCTCTGCAAGAGCACTATGAGCTCTTAAGCGCTGAGGCATCTCTCCAGCCCTATATGCTCAGTATTAATGTATAACTAAGCTACTGGGTTTTGTATGCTGAGTTTGTATCGCAGAACTTTCCTGGATGTATCAGGTATGTCTTTTGATGAAGTCATTGAAGTCTTCCATAGGATCATATTATCTGTAAATCAGGATAATTTTACTTTGTTCCCTATTTGTATCCCCTTTATTTCTTTGTTTTGCCCATTATTCTGGCTAAAATTTCAAATATATTGACTTAGAGTGGTAAGAATGGACTACCAAAAGGTCATTTCAAAGAGAGCTTGTTAGGCTATGGCCACTTAATCCTGCACCCAAAGACTGAAGTTCTCCCCAGGATGACGTAGTCTCTTAATAGTGCTGTTTTTCTAAGGAGAAATAAAATTGGTGGGCAGAAAAAAAAAAAAGAATGGTCAACCTTGTCATGCTCCTGATTCTACAAGAAGGCTCTTAGTTTTTCCCCATTCAATATGATACTGACTGTGGGTTTGTTGTAGAAGGCTTTTATTATGCTTGAGATCTTATTTTTCTACATCTAGTTCCTCTAGGACTTTTTATCATGAAAGGATATTGATTTTTTTTTTTTTTTGGTCTTTTTGAGACAGGGTCTCCCCAGCTGCCCTGGAACTCTCTATGTAGATCAGGCCGGCCTCAAACTCACAGAGATCTTCCTGACTCCTGAGTGCTGAGATTAAAGGCATGTGCCACCACACCTGGCTTAGGATATTGATTTTTTTTTTCCATTATTGAGGTGATCATGTGGATTTTTTCATCCTTGATTCTATTTATGTGCTCTATTTCATTTTTTTGTGTGTGTATGAACTATCTCTGTATCCTCGGAATGAAACCAACTAGGTTTCAGTACATATTTCTAGTGGGTTGCTGGATTCAATTTGCAAGTTTTCGTTGACGATTTTTGTGTCTGTGTTCATCATGGATAATGATTTATAGCTTTCTTTGTTAGGCTGAGTCTTTATGTGGTTTTAGTATCAGGGTAATACTGGTTTCATAGACTATATGAATGTATCCATTTCTTACAGACTTTCCAAGTTATTTGGAGTGAAAGTTTTTAAGCAAGTCCTTGCATTTCAGTGGTATCTGTTGTATTATAATATTTCATTTTTCATCTCTAATTCTTTTAATTTGTACCTTCTCTTTCTTTTGGTTAGTTGGCTAAGAGTTTATCAATCTTGTTAACCTATTCATAGAACTTTGTTTCACTGATTGTTGTATTAGTCTTTTGGTCTCCATTTCATTAATTTCAACTCTAACCTCTATTATTCTTTTTATTCTACTGGGGGTTTTACTTGTTCTTATTTTTCTAAGATCTTGAAATGCATAATTGGGTTATTTATCAGAGGATTTCCTGATTATTTTTTATGTAAGCCCTCATAGCTCTAAACTTTCTTAAAAATGCCTTTGCTGTATTCCACATATCATGAAATACTGTGTTCATTTGATTTTTCATTTGATTCTAGATGCTGTTAAAATTATCTTCATATTTTCAATAATCCACTCACCGTTCAAAAAGATATTGTTCAATCTCCATGTGTTTATGAAGTTTCTGCAGTTTAATTCATTGTTTATTTCCAAATTAATTTTATTATGATATAAGGTGGCAGAAATTATTTCAATTTAAAAAAATTTCTTAAGACTTGCTTTGTGGCCTAAAATATCTAAATATCTAAAATATCAACTCTACTTTGAAGAAATTTCCATGCACTATGTAAAGGAGTATGTATTCTGCAGCTGTCTAGTAGACTATACAGATGTCTGTTAACTCCAGTATAATCACTGGAGTTCCTTTGTTAATTTGGGGAGGGGGTGTCCTGAATTAGCAACCTACTGGTGAGAGTAGGGTATTAAAGTCACCCACTATTGTTATACTGGGGTCTTGTGTCCCTTTATGTCCAGTAATTGTGTTTATTTTGTTCTTTTTTTTTTTAATGAAATTGGGTACATCAATATTTGGTGCATAATCATTGTATCTTCTATGAAATCATCTTGTCTCTTTATTGAATGAGAGCATAGTTATTTCTGCTTGCTTCCAGATTCCATTTGCTGGGAGTTTATTTTCCATACTTCCAGTCTGTGTATCTCTTTGCTAGTGAGGTGTTTCTTACAGCCACTTATACTTGAGGTTACAACAGAAAGGCTGTGCTAGTTCCTGCCATTTTCTCATGTTTGGTGCTCTCGAGTCTGGAGCGGGTATCTGTTTTTCTAGTGTAATTTACTCTTTTCTGTGCCTTCATGGTAGTTCTCTTCTACATGTGGTATCACATTAAATATCGTTTAGTAATGTTTTTATTTTTCTGTGACGAAATGTCCCCCAAAAAGCAATTTAAAAGAGGATAAATTTACTTTGGCTCATGGTTTCAGAGGTGTTGCTTCATCATGGTGCAAAGAGGATAGTGGAGCCAGAGCAGAGCAGCTCATGATGTCAGCTAGGAAGCAGAGAAAGGGGTCACAGGAGGAGGCCAGGGCAGTTTCTAGCCCCCAAGGACTCCCCTCTACTCACTTATTTTCTGCAATTAGGTACCACATACCTTTCACCACCTCAATGCTGGCTTAGAGGTAATGAACTTCTTTTGTTTATGGTTTTTGTTGTTTTGGTTTTTTGCAATTTTTTTTTTTTAGAAATGTTCTCACTTTTTAGCCCTGGCAGACCTGCAACTAGCTATGTAAACCAGGCTAGCTCTAACTCACAGAGATTCACCTTCTTCTGCCTCCCTAGTGCTGAGATTAAAGTTGTGCACCACAATGCCTGGCTAAGTTTATGTTTATTGTAGAAAATATTAGTTTTTCTTTGATTCTCAAGGATCATTTTGCTGAATATAGTAATACAGGTTGATAAGTATTTTTGTCTGTTTGTTTTATATTTCTGTTTTGGTTTGTTTCTCCATTGCTGTGACAAAACTGACCAATACCAACTTGGGGAGGAAAGGGTTTACATCTCCTGGGTCACAGTTCAACAGTTTATCAGGGAGCCCAAGGTAGGAACTCAGGGCAAAAACCTGGAGGCAGGAGCTGGAGCACAGACCATGGAGGAATGCTGCTTACTGGCTTGCTCCCCTGGCCCCAACTCAGCCTGCTTTTTTATGGAACACAGGCCCACCTGCCAGGGTGTGGCACCATCCACAATGGGCTGGGCCTGCCCACATCACTCAACAATCAAAAAGATGCCTCACAGACATGGCCACAGGCCAGTCCAATGGAGGCAATTCCCCAATTGAAGCTCCCTCAACCCAGGTGTGTCAAGTTGACACTAAAGCTATCCACAGTTTCTCAGGACTAAAATACTAATTTGAAATCTCCTGGCCTTTAGAGTTCTGTTGATACAATCTTACCCAGCTGTGAACTCTGTGAACTACAAAAAATACTGGTCTGGCAAGGTATGCTCACTAGT